TCGTTCGGCCTCTTATGAAGACTACTTACTTGCAGATCTCCTTGAAACCACTTTCACTAATGGCAAAAGGGTCGATGGTGTGGTATCACAACGGGAATTTCCTTGTTTTATAATGTTCGGATTATGTATCGGATTTAGTAAGCAGTTGGCAGTTATGAATTAACTTTTCAGATTGGCGTTTTTGCGCACCGGATTTCTGACTTCTGTTTCTGTATTTAATTCTGCTGCAGTGTTGCAGTCGGTGATACTTGTTTGCCTCATATTCGCAACCGTGTTGGGTATTACTTATGAGTGGACACGTGATTTAGGATGGAGAAACTTATTTGAATTATTATGTTTTTTTACGATAGACAGCAAAATTTGTTGTTTTCACCCGCCATTGAATGGTTAATATGCACAAAAAAATTTATGCTAGGTCAAAGATAAACTTTGTTCATGTTGGTGAATGAAGCGCAAGGAGATGATTCTAGAGCGCAGTGTCATGTCAGATTTCGACATTTTGGTAATATATTAATTTGTATGACTGAAAATCAGTAGTATCCTTTCTCAGTGTGATGGCGCGTATCAGATTTACTGTGTAAATATTCTCCAGCGTTTCGAATCGTGCTTGATCCGTCTTCAAGGAATGACATCTAATGCTAAAGAGGCGGCTTGTGCATATTCGCTTTATATTTCAATATAGACGTCAGCTAGTGATAACTTTGATGTTGAGGTTTTCGATTGTGGCTTGTGATCTTGAAATGCTTGCGGTAATAATGAAATGTAGCCTAATTTGCACTGCTATTTGTGCGATGTCACTGTACAGAGGTTTTACTTATACCTGAACAGGCCAGCATGGGCTTAATCGTACTATTGTACCGACGCATTATTCTCCTTTCCAAGGCATTACGTTCTTCTCTCTGGTTCAGTAATATGTCTTCACGTGGTATTTCGCGACAGTCTGGCCATTTGTGAACTGTTGGCGACGTGGCGAATCTTTTCTGCTGACGGTATAGCGCAAACTTCGCATGGTTTTGCATGTAAACAGAGGCAACTAACTTACGAACAGCGGCACCAGCGAGTCAGGCTGTGGTGCCGCGTTGACCTCCGGACGCATGTCACGTCGCCGCGTCGTCTTCGTCCAGCGAATGAGGATAGCGATTTAAGGGCGTGCCGCGTTAGTCGTGTGTTAATCGAAAGTCGGTTCGGTGGTCGTTAGTTGCGTCCATCGTGAGCTTATGTTTGTGAGCCTGTACTTTTGTCGGTTTGTGCAAGAAGTGGCAGACTCGTCGGCCAGCGGTTCTGTTCAAAGGCGCGCAAGACAAGTTTTTAGCTGTTCTCGAATCCGTTCACCGAACGCGCATCACGTTGTGTATCGAACATCGCATCAGGACGTCGAAGCGCTCGACGTTGCTTGCCGACCCACAGGCGGTAGGCCTTAATCGTGATGAGGACACGAGCGGCATGTCAGCGTTATTTCAGTCACCCCCCCGTAAATCGCACAAACATTGAGTGCGAAGTTGTTGAAAAAGTTTTCGATCCTCAGCCGACAATCCATCAGCGCACTTCATGCGTCTTTTTCACGCACTGCGGTGGTTGCGGTACCCAGGCGTAAACCGGAGATGGGCAGGTCTTAATTCACCGTCGACGCGTTTCTTTGCCAATATCGCTAACGCCATCAGCACTCAATGAATGAGCAAGTGCAGATAAATAATATTCGTTGCTCATTTCGAGTTTTCATTTTAACGCACGAATGGACTGCAGTCGCACAGCGTTCGCCGGTTCGTTTTATTCAGTTCTCAACTGTAGATTATACGCGATTAACACGTGCGTAACACCCGCGTTCCGCAAACGTTTAGGTAACACGAATTTTACCAAGTGACCCGAGTCTGGCCTCACAGATCCCGATGCATTAATCGCTTCTTATTGCGTACGTGTTTTCGGTACATATATACAGTAATACATTAGTTTATATTAAACGTTATTTCTGCTAGTTTTATTCTCAGGATGCAGCCAGACAAATTAAGTTTCAGTGTGTAATTATTAATGCGTAGTACTGCAATGCGGTACGAGAATACCATGAAAGGTAGAAAAAAGTCATTTTCGTTTGGCCGTCCGACCTTATGAAAGTTCAGTCGCTGGCTGAACAGCGGCTTCATTTTTCTTTGCGAATCACTCGCTAACAGGCTAAATCATCATCAGAGGAAGAGAGTGAGGCATTAGCATCCACCTTCTTCATTCATGCCGTTGCTGCTGCAATCTAACGGAACGCGATTGTCCTCTCTTTGGTCGCCCAACGTTTCGGGACCTCCTCCGGTCGAAAGCCTCGGCGCAGCAACTTTTGCTGCCTTTATTTCATTCCGTTCGACATTGGATAATTCGTGCCCATCTCAGTCAGCCAATTCTTCGATAATATGTTCATGTTATTTTACACGGGCAATCTCAAATGAATGTTTCAGAACAGTTGATTGTTTAAACTTGGCTAAATAGCGTGTAAATCTAGCGTCGATGAACATTTGGCAACATCAGTCACTAGCGTATTCACTGTTGATGAGACGAGAGACCAAAGTCACAATCACCTGCGATAATTTTTAGTATCTCTTGATAATTTTCATTTTCATCTGTAGATCAGTTTTGGTGCGCTTACGCGTGGATTGATTCACTTTTTTCAATCTTCGTTGTACTCTAGCACAAATAATAAAAATAGTAAAAAATTTTTAAACCGCATGAATACCAATACTCAGCGCGTCCGCGTTCCACAGTAAACAAAGCGAGACTCACGACGAACGCGCACCGATGCCGATGCACCGTTCGGACGGACGGACGGACGGGCGGACTGCCTTACGAAAGACCGCCGTTACCTCGCATGCCAGCAACCTAAGGGCGATGATTGAAATTTTATGACTCAGAATTCTGTCCGTAGCTTTTCAGTATAATCTGTCTAAGTCCTAATTCGCGTTACGACAACTCTGACTATATATTACATTACACAAATTGCTCGCTAGTTCGTATAACCTTCACGAAGAAACCGTATTTTATGTTCATTGCATCAACTTGAGGTGCTGCCCGATCAGACGCTAACAAGTGGAACGGCGTAATTGGAAAGAACGAGACTTGCGACCTCGGCCGTCACTGAATGACGTTGTTGAGGTTTTGTGCGAACAACGGGCTGTCTGTCACGAGCACGTTCTTCGAGCGTTGAAGCATTCATCAGTATAGCTGTAATAGGGAAGCTGGTGCACAGAAGACGATGATAGATTTGCTAATCGTATCGTCAGTTTCTCGTTAAGAGTGGCACACAGCTATCAACCGATCATCGAGTTGTTGTTGGAACGCTATGCTGTGAGAGAGCGAATGCCATGCGACGATCTGGGGGCCGAAGCAGCCGGAGAATCAGACGGGAAAATTATTTTCTGCGCGTATGAAGGCAAAACTTGCAAACATAATCGTACGACGGTTGCGTCACATCCCGGTGATGGCCATTGATGTGGAAACCGCGGAAGCTGTTTCAGAGCGGCATACACGAGGTTGTCGTCGAATGCTGCGAATTTAAACGGGTTGGCCTGGCGCCTGGAGGTGGGTGAAGAACCTCCTGGCGGACACGAGAGGTACAGCTGGGTGTCGTTGGACAAGGAGGCTGCATTGAAGAAATGGCTTGGAAGCAAACAGCCTTCTAACTCGCCTGCGATATGTCGACGGACGCAAGACGGCAGCGAAAGCCAAACCTGATTCCTGAAAGAAGTTCGCTGAGGTGTTGCAGTCGAATTTCCATTCGGCAAACAAGGTTCTCTGACAGACCATTCGCCGACTCGGAGGTGAAAAGAAGAGCAGTCGAAGAATCTTGAAGGACAGTTCCGAACACTCTCTTACCGACAGTGAGGACATGCTTCGGCGATGGAGACAGTACTTTGAGCAGCTCATTATTCCGATGCAACTGCAGGAAGATTCGCCTGAAAGTCAACAGCGAACAAATATTAGTGAGTGTCTGTGTAAGTGAAATCACACAAGCTGCGAAAGAATTCAAAAGTCGAAAGGCTCGTGGATACGATGAAATCCGCCCCGAAATGCTCAAAGCATTAGGCGAACAAGGCATGTGCTGGCGTACGCGTGTCTCTTAATCTATAATGGCTATGGGATGACACCAGCGGACAACAGAACGGGAGTTGTTGTATCCCTATTCAAGAAGGGAGACCACAGGGACTGCTCCAGTTATGGACCATTACCTTATTGTGCCTCGCGGGTAAAGTTTACGCAAAGGTGCTGGAAAGATGTCGCAGCATAGCCGAGTCCAAAATCCAGCAACAAAAGTGGCTTTCGGTCGTAAGGAAAGACCTCTGACCAGATCTTCCCCGTACGTTAGATTGTTGAGAAATCATGGGAGTTCGCCCATTCGGTGTACTTGTGCTTTGTTGACCTAGAGAAAGCCTATGACCGGATTTAGCGCATCAGTCTCTGGGCATGCCTGCAGTTGCTACGGGCTATCTAATCACCATGTGCTGATAGCAGGCGCTGCGTCAGAGTTAATGGCGTTAAGTCGAAACCGTTCAACGTTCGCACTGGTCTCCGCCAAGGCTGCGTCCTGT